ATTTTGAAGTGTTTAAAAAAAAAAAAAAAAAAAAAGAAAAAAACAGCCTTGACCCAGGAACAAATTTCCCTAAATTTCGACTGACGTTTCCCGCTAATCGGATTTCGTCTGCAGTTCACCGCGATTGCTCGACAAATCCTATTTTCGAAAAAAATAAAGGGACGTCGTTCTCGGCGACAGCCGGAAGTCGAACCATTTCCTCGGTACGTTGGCTGAAAACGAAAGCGGCGAATGCTTTCAGAGCTCGCTGGCTCCCAAAGGTGACGCAGTTTCACTCGAAGAAATAAGAACAAGACGAATCGACCGACCGGTTGGATGGAATTGCGGGTTAAAGGTAAAAACGGAGAAAGCACAAGCAAAAAACGAAGAGTGGGAGACGAAGGGTTAGAGAGAGAGAGAGAGAGAGAGAGAGAGAAAGGGGTGGCTGGAACAAATGTGAGTCTCCTCCTCCATTTACGTCGGAACTACGAACGTCAGGGTTGGGTAGCACAGACAGGAGATGGAAGAGATTCGTGGAAATGCCGTGGAATTGGATAAGCCGGCAGGGTTTGTTTTGCCAGGGGTTCGCAACGGGGATGATAGGCCGATCGTGCGCCAGGATCGCGTGGCCTAGGCTCACTAGGGCCGAGTATCGCGTGTCCCGTGCAACTTTCTTCCCTTCGACCCTCCAGAAAAAAACTCCGATCCAATGGCTCGACGCTGACAACGCGCTCACGCTGTTAACTATTCGATCCGCAAACGATATAGATCACGGCTGATATCGCACCTTTGGCTTGCTTTGAAAATATACCAAAGTACACCATCGGCTGCATAATCTCGAATCTTATTGTTGGCGATCGACGGTGCGAATGCGATTTTCACTAAACGAATTTGAATGTCGTCGTCCTAGATCTAAAGATTCGCGTGGAAAATAAAGATGAAAAGTGAGAGGGAGGGAGAATAGAAGCGAACGTCTGCTAACTAGCTAGCTCAGAAACTATCGTTCGGAAAAGAGAGGGGCGGAGGGGTGGAGAGCTCATCAAACTCTATCCAAGAGACAAGTTGAATCCTACGGAATACGTGGAGAATGAATCGAGAGATAGGGTGAGGTCGAGGGTGGAAGAGTAAGGTAAAGTTAGAGAGGAAGGAGCGGGAGGCACTAGGTGCTGTTTGTTGAATCCTCGAGATCAATACAAGCCAGTCTATCTCTTTCTGCCTCGTAATTCCGTGTGCCTAAATGTGCGCGGGCGTTCGACGTGTGTGTGTGTGTGTGCGTGCGTTTCGCTCGTATGCCTGAAAATGCACACACCGAGAAAGAAAGAGAGAGAGAGAGAGAGAGAGAGAGAGAGAGAGAAACGGTCGCAGAGAGGTGCAATACGCGGTCCGACAGGCATTTACATGCGATTGCAGAGCGAAATGTGACGCGTGAAGATGAGAAAGCGACGGTGAAGCAAATGGAAACACCGGGCGCTGCATTTCTGGCTGCCGGTTTTAGCCACGCGTGTCAATATTTTAAAAGCACATTTGTACAAAGATACGTTAAAAGACAAGCGAATATCGCGTCCTAAATTCGGCTCTCACTCGGTCGCTTCGAAACGCCACCTTTGACGTCGGAAATAAGTCGCCCCGCTTTCTTTCTCCTTTCCCTTTTCCCGCCCTTTCCTATAAAAATACACCGCCGTAATTCGGTCAATCTAATTGCACTTTGACGCAGATGGAAGAGTTTATCGGGGACGGGCGAGAGAAAGAGAGGGGATAATTTGATCCGTTTCAAAAGGGAGAGAGAGCGAGAGAGAGAGAGAGAGAGAGAGAGAGAGAGAAAGAGAGAGAAGGTAAGAAGAGACGGGTGGGAAAAGGACAGACGGTAGAAAGAAAGGGAAATATTCACGATAAGATTCGGTTCCATTAGAAAAGGTTATTTTCGCTGGTTCAGCTATTTCTTTAGAAATTCCCATTCGCCCCGGCTCTCCCCCTTGAAGACCACGTGAATCCACGAAAGGGGTGAATACGAAAGGCCCCTATCGACGTTTCTCCCCGTGAATGACTCTATTTTCCTCGAAACGGGGCTGACGCATCCTTCTTTCGTTCCACCGCCGCCGCTATTTATGCCGATAAGAATTCCGGCGAGAATTTCAAGAAGTCTCTCTGCCGGCCAATCGCGGGGGTTTACTTATCGCTGCCACGAAGGATTGGCTGCGCACTGCGGTACAATACGAAAATAGGTCGGCCAATCCTCGTATCAGCACCCACTTTCGCCACCCCCCCCTCCCACCCCCCTCATCCCACCTCTGCCCACCGCCTGCCTATCGCCACCTTCGTCCTTTTATTCTAACCGTCGGTGGAAATGAATGTGCGAAACTGAGAGATTAAAAGAAGAAAAAAGAAAGAGAGACGGGCAAAAAGAAAGAATGAACTATCTACTAGACGTAGAACCGCGCGCAGAACGAACACTTACATTTTCATATACGTTTCACGCGGTTTCACAGTCGCGTAATATATGTACACCTACTGTACGAGGGTATTATTGCGAGGTCATAGTTGTCTTACTCTAAAAAATACTCTCAAAGTGTTCTCTCTCAACACAGGGTCAACACTGTACAGATTGCCAGCATCTCCACTCTGGTCGACCCTGTCTCCTTTCATCCCTGAACATCGTCCATCGAAGGGAACGCGCGTGTCTCGTCAAGTCTTTGATCGATCAACGATACGCGAGACACGCGTTCCGATCACTGTTTGTCCTCGTTCGACCATCTTTCCGGCACCGGATATTGCTGCTGCGACTGTTGACCGCCGGACGCTTGACCGCCCGACGACTGTTGCTGTTGCTGATGCTGTTGTTGCTGCTGCTGCTGCTGCTGCTGCTGCGTCTGTTGTATCTGCGTCTGCATCTGATACAACGGGTAGCTCTTCCGTTTGCGGATACCGTGCATCGACAGAAGGTGTATCTGGAGGTATTGTTTCGTCTTGAATTGCTTGCTGCACACGTGACAGGAGACGTACTCGGTCTGAACGGTGTGCACGTTAACGATGTGCTGCTTAAGGTTCGAATTGTTCGAGTAGATCTTGCCGCACTCTGGACACTTGGGCTTGCCGGATTGGTTCGCGTTGTCGGTCTGATGAACGTGCGGTTGCTGATGAAACCGTCGATGGGTCTGCTGATGGAACAAGGCCATGCTCTCTTGGATCTTCTCCTTGGCGCACGACTGCAGCATCAGATTCAGCTCGTTTTTCGCGGTGGCGGTCTGTTGCTGTTGCTGCAACGTTTGCAGGTTGTTCTGCAGCTTCTGATGCATCATCGTCAGCTGGTCGGTATTCAAGCTGTTCAGGGAGTTGAGCGAGTTCAAGGCATTTAGGGCGTGTTGCTGCGACGCTTGGCTGGTGGCGTGGAGGTGATGGTGATGATGATGCTGCTGGAGCAGAGACGACAGATCCTGACCTTTCGAGTTGTGCACTCCGCTCTGGTAAGTTCCAGACCCGGTCGTGTGGTCGTTCCTCGCGGAGGACGTACCCGGCAACCAACCGGAACTCGAGCTTGAACCGTCTCCTCCAGAGGGCTGCCATCGCCCTGGAACCACCAGCCAATGTCAGTCCTCAGCCAACCTCGTACGATTCCTTAAACACTATTCAATCTCTTTTTTTTTTTTGTCCTCCCACAGCCCTTTTCGTTTTTTTTTTTTTTCTTTCGTTTGTTATCTCTCTCTCTCTCTCTTTTTGTCATTCCTGTCACATTGTTTCCCTCCCCAAATTGCGTGTGTGTGTGTGTTTTTTTTATTTTTTTTTTTTTTTACTGTTCCCTGAATATCTATGATCGAATCGTAGATTATACTTTTTTTTTTTTTTAAGGGTACATTTTCTCGCCAGGTATCAATTTTGTTGTTTGTTGAACGTTTGTACCTTGTCCTTCTTCATTTGCCATTTCCGTACCTCCACCCTCTCTCGCTTTATTTCCATAAACAGTTTTGACTGTCGATTGAATTGGTACCTCGCCTCGACCGACCGACCAATTAGCCTCGGCATGCCTCGAAAAGAAGGGTCGTTCTTTTTTTCTTTTTTTCTTTTTTTTTTTTTCTTTCTAAAGAATTCGAGATTAAAAGGAGCCGAGCTTGGCTCTGCAACCCTAACAATTCTGTTTCTAACGACCGCAGGCCATTTTTGCGGAGGATAATCGATATTATTCCGGCAAACGAACTCGAAGAAGAAGATCCGTCGGAGACGTAGCTCCGCGATAACGTAGCTGCTGCTATTCGCCATGTTTCTACGTCTTTCTCTTTCGTCGCATAACTTCGTTTGTTGTTTCTTACTACGTCGTTGTTTTTATTTTCTTTTTCCTCTTTTCTTTTCGGGGGGGGGGGGGGGGAAAAAAAAAGTTGGGAAAGGG